CACAAGGATGGTTCAACATACCCGAATCAATCAATGTGATACACCACATCAACAAAAGAAAAGACAAAAACTACATGATCATCACAATAGATGCAAAAAAAACATGTGATAAAATTCAACATCCATTCATGATAACACTCTGACAAAAGTGGGCACAGAGGGAACATATCTCAACATAATTACAGTTATTCATGACAAAGCCACAACCAACATAATATTCCATGGTAAAAACTTGAAAGTCTCCCCATTAATACCTGAAACAGGACAAGGATGCCCATTCTCAGCACTTCTATTCAACATAGTATTGGAAGTCCCAACCACAGTAATCAGACAAGAAAAAGAAATAACAGGGATCCAAATTGGAAGAAAGAGGTAAAATTGTCACCATAAGCAGATGACATGATACTATATAGAGAAAACCCTAAAGACTCTACACAAAAACTACTAGAACTGAAAAACAAATTCAGTAAGGTAGCAGGATACAAAATTAACACACAGAAATCTGTTGCATTTCTTTACACTAACAATGAAATATCAGAAAGGAAAAGTTAAAAAAAATCCTTTTAAAATCACACCAAAAAAATAAAATAAAATAAAGTAAAATAAAATAAAATACTTAGGAATAAACCTGACCAAAGATGTGGTAGACTCATATGTGGAGAAATATACAACATTGATTAAAGAAATTAAAGATGATTTAAAGGAATGGAAAGTTATCCCATGCTCTTGGATTGGAAGAATTAATATGGTTAAAATGGCCATACTACCCAAAGCAGTCTACAGATTTAATGCAATCCCTATCAAATTACCCAGGATATTTTTCACAGAACTGTAACAAATAATACTAAAATCTACATGGAATCACAACAGACCCAGAATTGCCAAAGTAATACAGAAGAAAAAGAACAAAGCTGGAGGAATAACCCTCGCAGACTTTAGACGGTACTACAGAACTACAGTAATCAAAACAGCATGGTATTGGCACAAAAACAGAAAAATGGATCAATGGAATAGAATAGACAGCCCAGAAATAAACCCATGCACTTATAGTCAATTAATCTATGACAAAGGAGGCAAATATATACAATGGGGAAAAGACAGTCTCCTCAGCAAGTGGTGTGGGAAAACTGGACAGCTACATGTAAAAGAATGGCATTAGAACAGTTTCTCATACCATATACAAAAATAAACTCAAAATGGATTAAAGGCCTAAAGGTAACACCAGAAACCACAAAGCTCCTGGAAGAAAACAGAACACTCTTTGACATAAGTTGTAGCAATATTTTTTTTTAATCTATCTCCTCCAGCAAAGAAAAGAGAAGCAAAAATAAACAAATGAGACCTAATTAAATTTAAATGCTTTGCACAGCAAAGGAAACCATCAATGGAACGAAAAGACAACCTACTGAATGGGACAAAATATTTGCTGTATCATCTTTTTCCCCCCTTAACAGAGGCATGGGGATTGAACCCAGGACCATGTGCACACCAGGCATGTGCTCTACCCCACCACCCCTGGGACAAAATACTTGAAAATGATATGTCTGATATGGGGTTAATATCCAAAATATATAAACAGCTCATACAATACAATATCAAAAACAAAACCTCAATCAAAAAATAAGCAGAAGATCTGAACAGATATTTTTCCAAAGAAGACCTGCAGATACCCAGAAGGCACATGAAAAGATGCCCAGCCTCGCCAGTCATCAGGGAAATGCAAATCAAAACTACAATGAGATATAACCTTAAACCTGCCAGAATGGATATCATCAAAACAGCAAATGTTGCCAAGGATATGGAGAAAAGGGAACCCTAGTACGATGCTGGTGGGAATGTAAACTGGTATAGCCATTATGAAAAACAGTATGGAGGCTCCTCAAAAAACTGAAACAAGAACTACCATATGATCCAGCAATTCCATTCCTGAATAAATCTCTAAAGAAAATGAAAACACTAATTTGAAAGGATACACCCACCCCAATGTTCATAGCAGCACTGTTTACAATAGCCAAGATATGGAGGCAACCTATCTGTCTATCCACAGATGAATGGATAAAGAAGGTGTGGTATATATATTCAATGGAATATCACTCAGACAGAAAGAGAATAACATTCTGCCATTTGCAGGAACAGAGATGGACCTAGAAAAATTATATTTAGTGAAATAAGTCAGACAGAAAAAGACAAATACTCTATGTTATCACTTACATGTGGAATCTAAATAATAAAACAAATTAATAAGCATAATAAAACAAAAACAGACTCACACATATAGAGGACAAACTAGTGATTACCAGTGGGAAGAGTAATACACGAGGGGCAAGATAATGGTAGTGGATTAAGAGGTACAAACTATTGGGGGGAGGGTATATCTCAGAGGCAGAGCACATGCTTAGCATGCACAAGGTCCTGGGTTCAATCCTCAGTACCTCGATTAAAAGTAAATAAATAAACCTAATTACCTCCCCCCTCTACAAAAAAGAATAAAATGAAAACTCACAAATAAATTCAAACGTTAAAAAAAGAGGTACAAATTATCATGTAGAAAATAAATACAAGGATATACTGTACAGGGAATACAGTCAATATTTTTAATAACTTTAAATGGAGTATAATCTATAAAAATATTAAATCACTATGCTGTACACCTGAAACTAATATAATATGTAAATCAATTAGAATAAAAAAAGAAAAGATTAAAATGGAAAATGCCTTCTCTACACAAAAATTCATAAACACTGAGAGCACTGTTTTATGTTAAACGCCTCTGTGTTTCACTTGGTCCCATTAGAAGGTAAGTAAAATGTTTACAACAGATGTTAAAGGACCTTCTCTAGTCATCAAACCATAAGAAAAGAGAACAAAAAGAAAAAGAAATAGACTTACAAAAGATTGCTTTGGCTATTC